ACACATTTCATATATAGTATATATACAATATATATTCAATATACAAGTAGATAATGTTCTAGTAATAACCTAAATGGTCTATAGTACATGTATACGGTTGGGTATCTTATCCTGGTAACACTATGGATACAGTCTACTTTGTAATAGTTACAAACGACTTTATCTAGGTCATTCTTGTAGAGATATGCAAGTGGGGTTATCCTATACAATGAGTTTGTATCGACCAGACCGCGAAATAATTAATCATTGACTCCTAACACCATTAGTCAATAGATTGTTATCTCATAGGATGACTAGGTAACTCGGTCTTAATCCTGAGTGAGTTATGGACTCCTGTCTATAAGGGATCATCCTTTAATTTGTATGAGTGAGAGTGGCTCGGGTTGTCGACTCAATAACCCTACCATTTTGGGGAGAGATCGAATGGGGTGTTGGGAACATAATTACACAAAATGGAATTCACTTCTTCCCAACTTTAGGGAAGTAGATGAATGTTTCCTTACATGCTGACTCTTGGACTTGAACAAGGGGCCCCACCTCTCATTAGCCTGAGACAGACTTTCGGTTATTTGTCGGACCATAACCGGGTTGTTCATTAGAGAAGCAGTGATATTTAAGGAGCAATTTATAACTCAGGGGTAAATAGTAATTTGACTCAGCTAGAGTTATGGGCACTCGTGAAGGATTGACTGGCCACTAATTTTGTCATACATTTATGGACACGAAAATATTATGCAGTGAGAAGAGTGCAGCTATGGGTCTTTAGTGGAGTCACCTGCAGTTAACGAATAATGACTAACTCGGTTAATGAGTTTGATTGATTAATCTCGCATTGTTAGAGATTCTGATCTGTAGGTCGATTACGTCCCCTTGATAGCTCATAACGTATAAAACGAGGATCAAGAATTATGAAATAATTTGAAATGTTCAAATTATATAAGGGAATGTATATAATATATATTGAAAATTATATAAATATATGTTAATTTTGGATAAATATTCAAAATTAATACCATGTATTTTGAGAGTGAGAGATAACGTTATGAATGGGAAAATTTCTTATTTCTACATTTTGAATTCTGTTTAGGAATTCAATTGAAAAAGATATCCTAATGGTCTTGGGATTTCCCCTAGATTCAAAAGAAGATATCATGTATCCAAAAGGATAAGATATCCTGATGGTCTTGAAATTTCCTCTAGATTCATCAGAAGTTTATTACGTGTGTTGCCGTAAACTCATAATTTGTAAATATGTAAAAACAATCATATATTCAATAAAGTTATGTTTTCTCATTCAATCAAATTGTTGTGGAATTTATAACATTTCATTGTCCAAATCCAATAAACTAAACATCCCACGTTATTATCATGTAATCGGGACAGTATATATACTAGGTATATATTTCATGCATCCTTGATATACATGTGGATAATGTCCCGAGAATAACCTAAAAATGGTCTATAATACATGGAAAAGGCTGGGTACCTTATCCTGACAACACTATGGTTACGACCCCTTTTGTAAATGTTACAGATGACTCGATCCAGGTCGTTCGTGTGGATACATGCGAGTAGGAGTATCCTATATAATGAGTTTATATAAGATCGTATCGAGAAATAACCAATCTTTTGATGTAATGTCGTTGACTAATAGATTGCTATTTCATAGGATGACTAGACAACTCATTCTCAATCCTGAGTGAGTTATAGACTCCTGCCTGTGAGAGCTCATCCTTTGATTTGTATAGTTGTGAGTGGCTTGAGTCGCTGACTCAACATTCCTAATATTTTGGGGATGAGACCGAGTGGTGAGCTGGAAACATAACTACACAAGATGGAGTTCACTCATTCCCAACATTAGGGAAGTAGATGAGTGTTCTCTTACGTGTTGACTTCGGGATTTGAACAAGGGGCCCCACCCTCTCATTGACCCGAGAAGAACTTTCGGTTATTGCCCGGACCATAACCGGGTTGTGTATTAAAGGAGCAAGATATAACACAGGGGTAAAACGATAATTTGACCCAGCTTGAGTTACGAGCACTCGTGAAGGATTGACTTGCCATTAATGGTCATTTATCCGTGGACACGAAAATATTATGCAGTGAGAAGAGTACAGTTGCAGGTCTTTAGTGGAGTGACTCGTAGTTAACGAATGTTGATTAACTCGGTTAATGAGTATGACCGATTAAACTCGTATCGTTGGAGCTTATGATCTGTAGATCTATAAGGTCCCCTTGCTAGCTCACAACGGGTAAAACGAGGATTAAGTTTCTTGGAAGAATTTGAAATGTTCAAATTGCTCAGGGGATTATATATATGTATATTGATACATTATAATATATGGTTAATTCTAAATTGAAACTATATATTATGAGAGAAATTATTTGAATGAGATTCAAATAAAAATCAATATGAATAGGATTCATATTAAAACTATAGGTTAAAAATAATGTGCATAAGATGTACATTACAACTATAGGTTATACGAGAGAAATGTTTTAGAACATGATTCTATTTTGGTAATAAATAATTAAATGTTAATTATTTATCTAATGAATATATATATATATATATATATATCATTAATTTTTAATTGTTAATTAGATTAATAATTAATTAATTAATAAGATTAATTGATTTTATATATATGTTAATTATTAATATTAAATACTCCCTATGGAGTGGGAAGTTGGTTATGACGTGGGGTAACTCCCCACATCATCCTTAGTTATGTTTGCAGATTTGTTATGCAAAACATACTCAAGTGCTTCCTTTGCATTCTCTCCCAATTCGAATTCTCTCTCAAAATAATCAATTCCTTTTTACTTCCAAATTAGTGCTCCCATGATCATATTCTCGTTCCAAGAGGATAGCCGAGAAGATCGGTGGTGGTGTTGAACGGAACTACTGGAGAATATTTGAAGAAGTATTCTAAAGTATGAAAAGTTCTTTTTTTTTTGTTCACTATGTTATAACTTTTGTCCTTGAATCCAAGAACAGGATCCTTACTTCCACTGTGGGATTGACGTCCTATCAATTGGTATTAGAGTAGAGTTTCTATTATGAATTTTTTCTTTATAGAATTCACACAGTTTTGATGGATTTTTTATGCATTTTGTGAATTTGGGTTTGCGGGTTGGATGTTTTCGAATTTTGACATTTTAGCAATTTCCACTTCATTCGATCATGTAAGGGCCAGTTGTTTTGGGCATTTTTTTTATGTATTGAGTTTGTAAGTCCGGGTTGAGCGAAAAGTGTTCGTGGTGTTGAATTTGGTTTTTTTTTTTGTGGGAAACACCGAAGAAGACAAAGCAGATTGTGATGGCAGCACCATGGCGCTGTGTTTCTAGGCAGCAGTGCCGCGACGCTGTCCCAGGTGGGTACAAGGTGTCGGTTCGCAATTTGAGGGTTGTTTCTGGGATTTTTCGGTTATTTTTAGTTTTTGCTTCTTAGGATACCAAAATTCGGTCCAACTTTACTATTTAGTTATTTTATGCATTTTGAATGTATATTTTAATTAAATGCATATTGCATAATATATGCGATGTAGTCTTAAAATTTCATCATAGGGTACATGCATCATATATATATTTGATATATTATATGTATGTATGTTCACGCATCATATAGTTATAATTGTTATAATGTATAAATGCTTATTTTTATTTTCATAACTTATTAATCTTAGTGTTGTATCAATTATAATTGACATTACTTCAGTTAATATAATTGTTATATTAGTGAATGTCTCAATGCATGATTATAGGTTTAGTTTCTTGAATTTTATTACGAATTATAAAATTTTGGTAGATAGAAATTAAAATCTATAATAAAGAGTTGCATGCAAACATAGGGTCTAAGTTAATTAATTTTAAACCGGTTAAAATTACTTAGCCCTTAGGTTATATTCTCTAATATGATTAGGGGTAGTCTTTTATTTTGTTTTACCTAGGATTAAAATGAAATAGTAAAATAATAAATATAAAATATTGCCTATAAGGGAACCTTGTCTAAGCATGGTTCTGTCTAGGTTGAGGTACTTAAGCTGACCGTAAGGGAAAATCTCTACTTGGGAACCGACCTGACGGTTGAATTAGCCAATATTTTATACTCATGCAATAATGTCATTAGTTTATTAAAACGTTCGATAAACTAAAACATTAATGTACAACTACCAATATTAATAGTTATATTGGACCTACTAAAAATTCACTTAGTTAATTAAACTTAGCTGAAATTTACCTAAGTAATATACCCTAGTCTGAGAGTACTAAGTGTGAGCAAAAGAAAATATGTAATATACTACGTATATTTTTTATGTACAAAATATATATAACATACTTTTTTCTCTCACGTTTCTCCTTAATGTTCACACAGTGAGTTTCATGCTCAGTCTCGTGTCGCCCTGGGCACGGCCTCCCTACGGAAGGTATTTGCATGGTTCAATATTGAGGTAAGTGGAGATAGTATACATAGTAAGTAGGAGAAAGACGTGTGACAACACATCCTACGGTCTCCACCATTAGTTTGCATCGTGAGATTTCATACATGACCTATGTGTCGCCTTGGAGAAATCATCTGTATGGAGGGTCCATTGTATGGAATCGAAACCAAGGCAAACTCCATAAATGGATAAGGGTTTCTTAGGCTTTGCTCCAATATTTTCCTTCCCTACGGTGAGATTATTGGGGTAGACCATCAACGTCTGAAAATGGTGGGTCACACTTACGAGGAATTGTTAAGCTAGTTAGCAATTTCCTGACTAAATAAACGGTGACTAATGATTATATGAATAAGAGTTATTTTGGTATAAGATTTAATTGAGAACATCTCAATTCAGTGAAGGAGTAGCTGTCTGGCCTACAGTAGCTATTGCTCTAAATCATTGAAGTGTCGTTGTAAAACAATTTTGTTAGGGTGTTTGATTACTTTTGCTAAAATATGATTGAGTTTAAAGGATAATGCATTAAACTGACATATGTTTGTTTTTATTTTAAGCATGTTGACTTCTATTATTGCTCTCTTAGCCGCTGAAAAACTTAATGACGATAATCATAAACAATGGAAATCGAACCTAAATACTATACTCGTGATAGATGATCTCAGGTTTATCTTGCAAAAGGATTGTCCTCAAGCTCCTGCATCTAACGTTGTTATGGCGGTACGCAATGCGTTGCCTATGACCGGTGGATCGAAGCCAGCAACGAGGCCAATGTCTAACTCTTGGCAAGCATATCTAATGTACTTGTTAAGAAGCGAGAACATGGTCACTGTTAAGGAGATCATGGACTCGCTGCAAAGCATGTTTGGACAACCATCCTCAGAGGGTCGACATGAAACCGTTAAGTTCATCTATAACTCCTGCATGAAGGAGGCTAATCAGTGCGAGAACACATTCTCAACCTGATGGTCCACTTCAATGTGGCGGAGTCGAACAGGGCCGTCACAGACCCTTGCGTGTGTTTCCAGCTGCAC